CGGGCGAAGGGAGGAAGGGAGACGGGCAAAGGGAGGAACAAGGGGAAGAAGCACAAGCAGGGTCAGCAGACGCAACAGCACCAGGAAGCGGAGTAGGCGTACCCTTGTCGATACTCGCGGCCTCCGACATGAGCATGAAGTTAGTGCCGTCCGCCTTTGAGCGGGTGGTGAGGATGTCGAGTGCCTTGAGCGTCATCTCCTTGAGGCCCGGCACGTCTTTCGACGGTGCAGTAAATGTCTTGTTCGCCTCATTGTACGCCTTGAAGGTCGGAAGGTTCTCGGGGAAGACGTGGCGGTCGACCCAGGTCGGGAGAGTCGAGGCGGAGAACAAGCCGAGTGCGCGCTTCGAGTTGCCGATGTTGAACAGCGACGAGTTGGTCGTGACGAACTCGTAGCCCTTGGCGAGGAACTTGTCGATCTTGGAGACGTTGCGGTTCGAGGCCTTCGCGACGAAGTCCGAACCGCCGCCGCCGAAGAGAACGTCGGGACCGTCCCACTTGGTCCAGGTGAAGTTGCTCGTGACGCCGTCAAGATACTGGTCGATGATGAGGTCGTACTGCGAGCGAAGCGATGTGTGTGCGACGACGGCAGCCGGGGTAGCGTCGGCGAGGTAAGCCGTCGACACCACGCCGATCTGCGAGTTGTAGATGCGGCGGCCCATCTCAAAGATGGTCTCAAACTTCGGGTTGGCGTAGGGCTTGCCAGTCGAATCCTGCGACAAGCAAGGGGATCAATGCGAGGAAGAGGCGGGAGGAGCGGCAACGCACAGTGTAGGCGTTGAGCGCGTTGACGGTACTCTTCTTGCCAGCCATGAGAGCGGTTGCTGAATTGGCCGAGTCGGTGATGAACGAGTCCAGACTATGGGTGTGCTGCATGCCGAAACCTTCCGCCTTGTCGAGGGCGAGCGTCGACTGGTACTTGCCGTTGACGCTCTTGTGGCCCAGCAACCTCGCGGCCGTCGTCATGCCGGGGGCCATTCCGTCGCCGATGAAGAGGATGACGTTCTTGGCGAGCTTCTTCTTCGAGAGCGGCAGGACCTCCCACGTTGCGGTCTCTTCCATGCCGTTGTTGTACTTGAGCTTGAGCTCGTACTCGCCCGGGTCGTAGCTGCGACAATGTGAGCGGTCAGTGACTGACCGAGTTACAGTCAAACCGCCGCAGCGCCGAAAGCTCCGAGCGGAGACGCACAGAGCGAGGTGGCGGTAGTCCTTCGCGACGACATTGACGAGCGTCGGTGTCTTGGCGTCCTGAGCGAACAAGTCCTCGTAGTAGGTGAAGTTGTAGCTCGACAACTTCGGGTCCACAACGGAGAAGGCCTTGGTGACGTCCTTGAGCTCCTGGCCCTTCTTGCCGATGGAGAGGGTGAACGAGTCGTACGGCTTGCCGTTGTTGAACGGCATCGTGCCGTTCGCCGGCGCCTGGACCTCGACGCGGAGGTCGAAGACCTGGCCAGCGATGAAGGCGGACTGGTCCTGTTGACGGCATGAAGCGTGAGCGCCAGGGTCACTACAGCTGAGCCGAGTGACTGAACGTACAGGAGGGAAGATGCATCCGAGGTTCGGGCACGCAGCGGTGCGACGGAACGTTTGAGCGGAAGCGGATCCAGCGAGGGCAGCGGCGACGAGGGCACTCCTCTTCAAGCCCGAGCGGCGTTTGGTGTACGCCATAGTCGACGGAAAATGCGAGGAAGTTTAGCGGAGAAGGGAGCGAGGGTACAAGGACGCAGGATAAGCCGAAAGAGCAAGGGCGAGTGTGCCGCAAGTTCAGCACCGGCGGATGGCGCCGCTCCGCGCTAAAATCTGCCGAAGGGCGTGCATCAAAGCCAACGTTCCCCTCTGCACCCCTCCATTCTCCCTCCGAATCGGCGAAAGGGAAGACTTGGCACTTCGAGCGATGGGAAACGTGCGAAGTCGTCGGGCGCAGAGGCCGACGGTGCGCGCGGCTACAGGCGCGATGGGTGGATGCTTGGCTGAAACAGTCGGTGCGCAGGGAGCAGGGCCAGCGATCGCACGAGGGAGGGGACAGGCAGCGAGCGAATGTGCGCCTGGCGAAGTCGCAGACAGACAGACTCGCGCGCCTCGAGAGCAAGCTTCGAGCGAAGCAGCGGTGCCAGTGAAGTGACAGGAAGGAGATCAACCCGTCTGTTCGGTCTGCGAAGCGCTCTCGACGGCGGCCCCGCCAGCGGAAACCTAGCTCCTCCTCGCTCGCTGGCGCCCAAGTTTAGCCCGCTTCGGCGCGATAAGAAGTGCGGCAGAGGCGTATAACGGCGAACACATCTTGCAGCACAGAAGCGAGAGTAGAAAAGTGTACACAGGTAGGCGGGATCGGGGCTAGGGAGGGGTATCGTCGAAGGTACAAACGGGCGTGAAGGCGGGAAGGGAAGTTGAGGGAAGACCGGAAGGCGGTGGTGAGAGACAGAGGTATGGCGGGAGACAGACGCAAGGAAGCGATGGCGGAGCTGGCCGGATAATGGCGGAGAGGCGGAAGGGAGGAACGCGAGAGGGTGGGCGAGTCGACGAGACTGAGGCTTTCTAGAAGGAGTGCTTGAAGACTGCGCGCGTGCAACTTGTCAGCGCTGCATTGGAAGGCTCGAAGACAGTCGGGCAACTCACGGTCGCCGTCATTCTCCTCCGCACGCCCCGTCTTCTGCGGCTGCAGCCTCTGCGCCGGCTCCTGCCTGTACCCGCCAGCATTCCCGTTCGCCGGCCGCGACGAGGCCCAAGCATCCTCAGGTCCCTCCTGCTCGAACGAGTCGAACCTCGCCGGCGCCGCGCCACCAGTCCCAGCCCTCGAACCCTCGTTGATCTCCCTCTCGAACTCGTCCTGGTATCCGTCGCTCGCACGCGTACGGCTGCTGACCGCGTCGCTCGTGTCGAACGGCTGTTCGTAACGCGAGCGGTTCTTGAGCAAGCCACCGCCGAGCTTCTTTTTGCTCTTCCGCGGCGCGACGGCAGGCGCCTGCTCGGCTGCGGTCGGGTAGAACTGCTCGTTCGTGAGCGGGTCGGCAGCGGGCTCAGGGGGCGTGCGACGAGAATCGATCGGCGCAAGGCGACTCTCCGAACGAGACAAGCCGTGACCGCCTTCGACCTCATCCTCGTCGACAATGTCGTCCCAAGGCGAGAAGCGGTGGCGGGTGTTGCCGTTCTTCGACTTGATGCGGTTTGACCGCCGTTCGGGCTCGGGCCCGCGGCCGTCCCACGAGTTGGAGTGGAGCGAGTCTGCGTCTCCGCCGTAGTTTGCGCTCGCGCCCGGGAGACGCTCTGCACGGCGAAGTCGTCAGCGCCAAATTCTACGCGACCGACTCAGACTCTCGATCATACTCACCGTCGTAGCGGTAAGCCCACTGATGCCTGCCCGCTCGAGGATCCTTGATCTTGACGAGACCGGCGCGAATCGCCCACTTTGGCGTGCGCTTCGCCGTCTTGTTGTTGCGGATGTTCTGGCAGTACTGTGAGACTTGACGTGTCAGCTGGTGCAGTAGGAAGCTAGAAGTGAGCGGAATGAGACGAACGAAGCTGTTGCAATGAGGAAGACAGGGTCAGTAGCAAGTCAATAGCACGACGTTGGGCACGGGAGCGTACTTGTGTGCGTGCCCTGGGATGTAGCCGCCGATGGTGAGGAGGATGTTGAGGAAGCTGTCGACGGAACGAGGGTGAGCGAGAGCGTCGAGAGGGGAAAGCGAAGGAGACGCACAAGTCGAAGCCGATTCCGAAGCGGACGAGGATGGCGAGAGGCGGCACGACCCAGCCGCTGTACGGTGTTGATACGTCAGTGTGAAACCCTGAAGGAAAGGCAGAGGAGCGAACTGACATGACCATAATCACCGCATGGAACCCGTGGGTGCGGTCGACCTGGAATAGCGGCCGCAATGTGTCAGCAATGTTCTGCACGTCCTGCACGTCCCTAAAGGGTCTGTTTGAAGCCTCCGAGTGTTGCTGAGCGCGCGAGAGGAGGTGGGGGGTCCGGAAGAGACGCTGAGATCTCGAGTCCACCAGCGCCGCCGTCCGCTCGCAGGCCTTGTCCTCTACAGTTATCGACCGTGTCGACCCACACGCACACCCACGCGCCCTCGAATGCCGCCGCGAGCGAGGTGACGAGGAGCGAGGCGCACCTTGAGGTGCTTCTTGCCCTTTGGCAGCGCCTTCCTGACCTGGTAGTTGAGCTCGTCCATGACGCTGTAGCTCGTCGCAGTCTATGGCACCACGCAGACCAGCAGCAGAGCGAGGACGAGTTGGTGGACAAGGACGAGGTTCGGCAAGAGCAAGGTCGACCCGCATTCATCCAACCTGCTCCGCTAGACTGGCTTGCTGGAGGCTCACGAGCGATGGAGAACACGGCCTCGTACGCTGCATACTACCACGGCCAGCGCAACCTCTCACCACACCCGTCCGACCCCTTCAACCCGCTCCCGACTTCGACGACCCCGACCGACACGCCTCCGCTTCCGACTGGAGCTGCGAGACCCTCGTACGGCTACATACCACCGAGCTACTCGACCTATGCGGACCAGCGGCAGTCCTACCTTGGTGCTGAGGAGGAATACCCCTCGAGGTTGGGCGAGGCGGTGCAGGGTCCTCGGGGCCGACTGAGACGAGAGGAGGGCGGATTTGCAGCCTTCTGGAGGACGTACAAGACCAGGAACCAGGTGCGAGACCTCTGGGCAGCCTGGGTGAGCCTCACGCTGACTTCTCTCCCGAACCCTTTCTCTTCCTCGACCGGCATCCCCGCAAAAAGCTCGCATTCATGTCGATTATTGCCTTGCAAGCCATCGCGGTGCTCGTCATGATTGCGCTGGTGTACGGAACGGTGCGCAATGTGGGTCACCGTCTCCTCTCTCCCTCCTATTCGTCCCGCTACCCGAGCCAAAGTTCCTGGCGCTCATCCTTGTTCTCCCGCAGAACACGGGCGACCTCTCGACGGCCGACCTCATCGGCAACGACCCAAAGCTCGAGTCTGTCGCAACCTACCTCGGCCTTTTCATCCTCGCCGTCCTCTTCGAAGCGGGTATCACGCTCAACAGCTGCTCGCACAAGAACATCATGACACTCGCCGTCCTCTGCCTCTTCAACGGTGCCATCCTCATCTACTCCGCCGTCCTGCCACGACAGCTCGCCAACGCTTTGAGCGGCAGCAACGCCGACACGCCTCACGTCCAGCATCTCACGCACATCTACGCGGTCGTCATTCCTGCCGTCGTTGGAGCATGCACCGTCGCCATGACACTGATGCTCTGGCCACTCTACGCCGAGTTCGGCTGGGACACCTTCAAGCGTATCGGCGCAGACCTCGCAATCAGGCGCGCGTACCTGCGCTACCAGGTCTTCGTGTGCCTCCTCAAGTTTACCGCCTTCTTCGTCATCGGCTTTGAGCTCCAATTTCTCATCCTTGTCACCGGAACACCAACTGTGGAATTCGTCTTGACGATTGTCGCCCTGCCCGTCACGATTCTCGCTCTGCTCGCCTTTGCGGTGAGTTGTCATCCTCTTCTCGCTTGCGAGCGAGCCTGCTGACGAGTTTCTCCGCGCAGGCTGTCGTGCGAATTGAGAATCGCCCGGGCATCTACGCATCATTCGTCGTGATTGCTGCTGGAATCGGTGCGTCCATCCTTCCTTCTGCCCTCCCTGTATCGCTCAATACTGACGGATTCTCCCTGTATCGCTCGATACTGACGGATTCGCCCTCAGCCTACTTCATCTACAAGCTCCAGCGCATCTACGGCGCGACGAGCGGGCGATACTCGACCGCGACAGCGACTTTGACCATCTTCTCGGTCGTCTGCATCGTCCTCCTCGTCGCGACGTTCGTCATGATGGGCCTGTGCATGCGCAACTTTGGCAAGGGATTGAAGGAGCGGAGTGCGTCCTCCCACCTTTCTTGAGGAAGCCAGCGAGACTGACGCCCGCCCTTGCGCAGTTCCCGGCTACCACCTCCCCTTCCTCTCGCGCTCTCGTCAGCCCGAATCAGGCCGCCCGCTTGCCTCTCAGTCGAGCCCTCAACCGCCGCCTCTCGCAGCATTCGAGAAGCCAGACTCGCGACGACCGGGGATGCCGTCCGGCCAGTCGACGAGCAAGTACGGCGGCGAGACGGATCGCATGTCCATTGACTGAGCGAGGGGGCGAACGGGTACGGGTGGGCTTAAGGAACAGTAATCGGGTTTGCAGGTCTTGTTGTAACGTCCATCCTTTGCGAGCTTCCTCTCGACTTTCGCGACGCGAGTGAGAGGAACGACGCTTGAGAGCTAGTGTTACAGTCTCTAGGTAATGCGACGGGAATTAAGCGGACGATGGAGCAGAACTGGAACGAACGAAAGTGCAAAGGGAATTAAATGGCGTGTCCGACGCTATCAGTGTCCTTGGTGAGCGGCGCGGTCGTCGCTTCGTGCCCTGTCAGCGGCACAGTCGGGACTGGGGGCGGCGCGGTGCTCGATTCCGGCTCTTCCTCTGGGACGGTCGACTTGCGATTGCCGTGGCGGAAGAGGCGAGCGCCGAACGAGGCTGAGCGGTCGCGTGTCTTGTCCGACTTGCGAGCGAAGGCTGAGTGGCGGCGAAATCGTCAGCCAGACGGCGAAGCGAGAGCGGAGAGAGGGAACGCACGATTCAGCTCGACCTTGCCAACCCTGACGGAGCCCTTCCTCGGCCGGGTGCGCGATGCCTCACTGCCCCTCGTTGTGTACCGCTCGAGGTTGAGGCCGACACCCTCGTCAAAGGCGTAGCCGCTGCCCGTTCCAACGCGAGCGAGGCCGGTGCTCATGTCGTGCGTGAGGCTCTGGTGCGTGCGGGCGCGGCCGAGTTGATACGAGTCGCGCTGAGGAAGGGGGCGGCGGGAGGAGGAGCGAGAGGCGGTCCGCCGTGCGATCATGGGCGAGGAAGCCGAGGCCGAGTCGGGCGTGAGCGCGAGCGGCTCGAAGTGGGTGCCGTCCGGGTGGTGCGGCATCATCGGGTCGTGCACCCAGTCGTGCCGAGGGTCACGCTTCTCCATCGCGCGGAGGATGTCGACGTCGTCGGGGAAGTACGCTTCCTTGATGGCGCGGTAGAGGTAGCGGGGACCGAGGGAGAGGATGATGGTGAACATGAGGCCGAGCCACCAGTACGCCGACGGCCAGAGGAAGTGGTTGTTGCCCCAGACGTAAGTCCAGATGAGGGTCGGCGGGAAAGCGGAGTAGACGGCCGTGTAGAGGACGATGAGGACGGGGCCGATCAGAACACCGGCAAGCACCCACCAGTTCCACGAGTACGTGTTGAGACCGTTGTAGAAGTTGGCAGCGAGCACGGCGGCGACAGCCATGACGGTCGAGAACTCGTACATCTGGATGTCGTAGCCGTCTCGCCGCGCTGTCGTCGTGTCGTAGGCGTACAGGAGGAAGAAGTAGATGACGGCGGACTGCGCAATAGTGAGCGGGTCAGCAGGTGTGCTCGACGCAAGCGAGCAGGGGAGGACCCGCCTGGTAGATGCCGTCGAGCATGTAGATGGAGAAGCGGACGATGCCAAAGAGCTTGCCGCGTCGGCCTCGCTCGTACAGCTCAGGGATGGCCATAAGAACGCGCTCGCCAACGTGGCGGTCGAAGATGCCGATGAAGATGACGGGGACTGGCATGGAGCGGCTGGTAAGTGACGGTCTAGCTGGCGAAAGGGAGACAGCTGGACGCACCGAGAGTCCAGAAGACGTTCCAGAACAAGAGGTACGTGTATTCGTAGACGGTCGTGGCCGAGTAGCCGCAGTAGAACTGGAACCAGAAGAGGACGCCGATGCCGATGATTTCCTTGTAGAAGAAGTTGACGATCATGTTCGAGTTGCGGAGGTACGACCACTGGCCGTGCACGAGGAGCAGTCGCTTGAGGAAACGGAACTGCCCCATGGCGTAGTCGGACGAGTTGACAGCTTGGAGACCTTCTTCGCCTGCGACGCCGACGCCAATGTCGGCCGCCTGAATCATCGAGACGTCGTTCGCGCCGTCGCCGATGGCGAGGCACATCGAGCCGAGGCCGTCCTTGACGAGACGGACGATGAGCGCCTTCTGCAGGGGAGATGTGCGGCAGCACACGACAGCACGGCAGCGCGTCGCCAGCTCGAGCAGCAGATCCTTGGTCCAGGGCTCGTCGAATGCGTGACGAAGAGACGCTCCGTCGATGACGAGGCCGTAGCCGCCGGGTCGCTCGCCATTGTCGTCGCCGACGATGTCGGAGACGCCCGAGACGCCAGTCGTGGTGCGGTGCACCTGGAACGAACGCCTCATGCTGCCCGACCGCCGCGGTCCGTCTGGTCGTTTCTGCGCATCGGGCGGCTGGTTCTCAAGCTGCTCGGCGAGACCTTCCGCGTCGAAGAAGCGCTCGAGCGCGCTGCGGAGCTGGGCGTACGCCGAGTTGGCCTGGCCGTACTCGCCGCCTTTGACGACGATCAAGTTCATGTCGCGGGAGAGGAGGTTGCAAGTCTTGGCGATGGCGATGGCGGTCTCGAGCTTGTCGCCCGTAGCGACCCAGATCTGAAGAGGAACGTTTTAGCGCTCGAACATAAAGCGGAAGAGGTCAACAGCAACGCACCTTGATGCCGGCACGCTTCAAATCGGCGATGGCTTCGGGCACGCCGTCCTGCAGCTTGTCCTCGATAGCTGTCGCGCCGAGCAGGTTGAGGTCCCGCTCGAGCTCGTCCGAGACGCGCTCAATCTCTTCGTCGCGGTTGTCGATGAGAGTCGTCGCCTCGTGGAAGCGCCGCTCCCACTGCTCGTACGTCGCCTCGTCGAGCGGTTTCCACGCCAGACAGAGCGTCCGCAAACCCTCGTTCGCAAAGTCCTCGAGGTGCTTGTCCGTCTCGCGCTTGAGCTCCTCGTTGCCGTGGCCGAGGCGCTCGAAGATGACGTTGTCGGCACCCTTGGTGAGGAGGAGGAGCTGATCGTCGCCCTCGCCCTCCGACAGCTTGCGGATGACGACCGACATGCGCTTCCTAGCCGAGGTGAACTCAAGGACGTTGAGAAGCTGAAACTCGACAACATCGTCGTCGTGCGGCGTCTGGACGCGAAGGACGTCCTTGTCGCGGCCGAGGAAGACGAAGCCGACATCTGCAGCGGCTTGGACGAGCGCCGCCTCGTCGGGCGACTGAGCCTTGTACGAGATGAGGCCGTCCTCTTGGCTCGTCAAGACGGTGTGGCAGAGCGCGAGGTTCATGAAGAAGTTGTAGAGGTTGCGGGCTTGGGTCGAGTCGCGCTTGGCGAGGTCGGCCTCGATCTGCGAGTCGTGGAAGGGCGCGAGAACCTGCTCGGCGAGCTTCGTCTTCGCCTTGTCGTCGCTCGTGCCGTTACCGTTCGTAGGGGAAGCACTCTCGTCGCCCGAAGAGGACGAGCTCGAGAGCGCCTTCTCGGGCGGAAGGACGGTCGTGTCGGTCGCGGCAGGCTGCTCGTCGCCAACGTAGACCTTGCCGGCGATCGAGCACTGGCGGAAGAGCATGGCGTTCTGCGTCAAAGTACCGGTCTTGTCGGAGAAGATGTACTCGATTTGGCCGAGGTCGTCGGAAAGGTTCCAGCTTCGAGCTGTCGTCCGCCGCCCGTTGCCCTTCATGTCGTCGTCCCCCCAGATGTATCCCGCTTGCACGAGTCGGGTGAACTCGATCGAGATGTACAGCGAAATCGGCACAATGTTCTGCGCGGCAAAGCGTGAGCAAGACGCCGACACGGCGAAGGCAGACTCTACGCACCTGAAAGGCGATCAACGCGTTCGCCCAGGTGATGATGCCGTTGATGTTCGGGTTGTCGTCCGAGCGGTTGTCGGCGAACAGCCAGTACGCGCCCTGCGGGTACTTCTGGACTTGGAGGTAGTGGTCGGCGAGAGCGCACATGACGGTCATCAGGGCGAGGATGAAGAGGTTGAGGAAGCTGCGAGCATACGACTGATCAGTACTCGAGTAGCGCACTCGCGAGCGCAGAACTTCACTAACACCATCGGGTTCATCTGACGCTCGACCTTGGACCGCTTCGAGGGCGTGCCGCCAGCGTTCATGACGATCTTCGTGTCTTGCCCGGTCATGCAGACGACGCCGACGACCCACTCGGTGTTGCGGATGACGGTACCGCGGAGAAGCATCGTCGTGAGGTTGACCGGGCACTTGAGCGGCCTGCCCTCCTTGTCGGTGCGCCCGTCATGCAGCTCAATCGCGGCGTTGTACGTGAACATGTTGACGTCTGGCGGCTCGGCGCGTATGACGAATTTGGCTTCGTTGGCGATGGCGGACGAGGTGCGGAGGTGCGTGAGCTCCGGGACGGCCGAGCGAGACTTGAGGTTCGTCTCGCCGTCGAGGTTCTTCGTCTCGACATAGCAGACGTTCTCCTCCTCCGAAGTCGCGCAAACAATAATATCTGCAGCGAATCGTCAGCCGAGCCTGCGCGCGAGCGAGGCTTCACACGCACCAGCAGGAACGCTCTCGTCCCCATGCAGCCGCACAAAGTCACCGACTCGCAAGTCCTCCCAGTTCTCCTTGACCCACGTCGGCCGGTCGTAACGCTGGCCGACGCCGACGTGCAAATGGGGCTTGTGAAGGTGGATGCCGGAACCAGGCTGCTGCTCGGCGTTGGGGTGTCCAGCCGTATCGGTCGGGCCGTGATGGAACTCGGAGTCTTCGGCGTCGTCGGCGTAGTAATCGCCTTCGAGGCGCTGGTGTCGAGCAGGGATGGGCGCCTCGTACGAGAGACCGGCCGAGGTGTTGGCGCGCGAGCGACCCTTGGCGGATCCCTTCGTGCCGACTGTCGACGACCGCGCACGGTTGCCCTCCTCACGCGCCGCCTGGACCGTCCCTCCGCCTGGAGCTGTTCGTGGAACCTCCAAGTTGCCGAGCCCGTCGCGCTCCTCCTCTGCCTCGACATCCTCGACGAGCGGCGCGACCTTCTCCTGCGGACCCTCGCCGTTCTTGACCTTTCTCCGCCCGACCCGCATCGACCTCTTCCCCCAGAACCCCTTGTGCTGCTTCTCCCTGAGTTCTGCCTCCTCGCGCTCCTCCTCCTCCGCCTCCTTGACAAGCCTTCTCTGTCCCCACCAGTTCCGGATAAACTTGGGCAGTCCGAACGTCCGGCTCTTCTGGAGAGTCAAGTTCGGGTTGCGGTAGGTCCCGCGGAGGGCGATGACCTTGATGTTGTTGATGGCGCGGTCCGACTGGTGGCGCTTGAGATCTTCGTAGCCGTCTTTGACCGCCGTGATGAAAATGACTACGATCAGAGGGAGCGCCGAGAGACCTGGGCTGACGGTCGTGAAGCGCGGGAAGAACTGAAGAATGACGAGGACTGCAAGACGAGCCCATCGTCAGCCTCTACAGCGACTCTTGGCGACGGAGAGAGAGGAGCCGTACCGAGGAAGAAGATGTTGGCGACGCGGCGGAACTGCTCGAGGAGGTTTCGCGGCACGAACGTGAGGAGGTTGTACTTGCTCGTGAGGACCTGATTCGAGACGAACGTCCACCCAGGCGCCGGAACCTCCTTGGTCCCGAAGCCCCTCTTGTCCTTGCGAATCACCTTGCCATTCTCGCCCTTGACAGTCCTGTTCCAGCCCGGTATGGGGACCTTGGGCGCCGTCGTGAATGCCTCGGACGGCACAGGCGTATTGACGAGGACCTGGCGAGGGTACGGGTTGCGGTGAGGCCGAGAGAAGACGGCCGTGAGGTCAAAGTCGGACGCCCTGGCGAGCCAGCGGGTGACCTTGTTCTGCGGGCCCTTGCGACGGATCGGAGTCACGCCCATCCTGCCTCTGCCCGCCGCTGTGGCGCGAGTGTTGCTGCTAGCGGATGCCGAGGAGCGAGTTGGTCGAGTGGCTCGCAGCGAGCGATCGCGGCGCAAGTTGGGGCGCGCAGAGAACTGTGCAGGCAGCAGTGAGCCTTGTAGCGCGGTACCGCTCTGACCGACGGCAGCACAGGCGAGGTGGGCGAGCGCAACAAGCGAGATGGCGAGGAGGAGCCTCTTCCCGCGCTCCCACGGACTTGCGATGTCAGCATTCCTCACAAACTCGATCCTTTCAGCGCTGTGGCCCTTGTAGGACATCATTGCATCCTGTAAGGCAACCTCCCACTCCGAGGCGCCCTCGAGAATCCCGCCTTGCACCCGCCCGCACGCCGGTCTCCCTCGCTTCCTCCTGCTGCTACTCGACCACGTCCGCGTTCTCCGTAGGACTCGGTGCGCGGCTCGAGTCGATAAAGTGCGTGTCGTCGGCGTACAGCACGAGACGGCCATGCCAATGACCGGAACCTGCGAGGGATCCGACGGCGAAAAGTGTCAGGTTTGCGTACGAGGACCGCGGAAAGAGCGAGCGAACGCACCCTCTTCATCCTCAACCCACTCCATCTCAATCACCGTCCTCGAGCAATTATCGATCCTCTTGCTCCCCTTCCGAATCATCTCCGCCTCCTGCTTTGGCAACACGAGCTCGATATCCCTCTCTCCTCGATCTGCGTACTCGACGAGTGAGGAGACGAATTCACGGATTGCGGCACCGTGAGAGACGTAGAGGATTTGGCGGCCTTGAGGGAGGAGGGAAGAGGTTGAGGAGGAG